AGTGATGCAGGTCTCAGACGTTTACCACTTCGTTGAAACCCACGAGCACGGGTATGGTGCTGACAAACCTAGAAACATTATCATGGCGAACCGGGATTCGAACCCACAATCATAGGTTTCTGGCGTGCCCAAGGGATGCAACTCTGCACAGCGAATCGCGGCGCCTTAGACGATTGGGCCACCCGTGCCCCCCAAACAAGGGGGAAGTAAGACAGCATAGATGGTTATACATGGTTATAAATATCTAAAAAGGAATAATAAAAGCAGTGAGTGGGTGAGTATATTTTTAGAAATATTCCAGCAATAACACGGCGAGGGACACCAGAAATGGGCTTCACATGGGCTTTATCCATATCGGAAATCGAACCCGGGTCTTTGGTGTGACGAGCGAACGCTTTAACCACTAGGCTACCCGACCGCCCCAACAAAACCAACATGAGGATATGCATGAGAGGGATTAACAACGACAAAGGATAATATTTATTGATATATGACAACATAAACAAGCAAATGGTGATTGATAATAGAAGGAAGCCATCTGAACATCTTCTGTTGATTGATGGCTTGTGTCGGCGGATTTGAAGTGCTGTTAGATTTTGTTTTGTGAAGTGCCCCATAAGATGTTGTGATTAGGGCAGTTGATGATGTTACTTGATGATAAATGTTTTATATTCTTTTATTCTGACGCTTATGGGGTGGGTAGTTTCACCTCCAAAAAGCCACAAGACATTATCATTTATCACTACCACCATGATTATTGCTGGTATATAACTAAAGCGGCGTAAAACCTTTCTCACACACACTAGTTCAATTGTGTCGCTAAATACGTAGATTCAGTATCATTACCAACTGGTAAGTATGAATAGACACATCTTATTGTCACAAAATCTAAATGATGAAGTGTTTCGACAGCAATTGATTCCGTAATACAGGAACAACTTTTTTTGTTCCGCGTATGGGATACAGTATATTGACAGCGTTTCAAGTAAAGAATTATTTGTCACAAAGGATACAACAAAACCGTATGTTCTGCTTGTTTATTCTCAATCTAAACTTATATGACTGAATTTCACCTAATGACAACTACCTGTCATTTGAATCTTTTTGCGATGTGTGGGAGGAATAACGATAATGATAGATCTGGTAATATTTATGGAACTGAAACTGCCAGGATTCATTAGTTCTAAACAGTGCATGGACGAGGTAGAATTTTAAAATATAACCATGAACCGTGGAATGCAAAAAAAGAAACATTGTTTATATGTTGTTTCTAAAAAACACAAAAGTGTGCAGCAGAGTTGAGAATAATGTTATTTGAAGTCATTAGGGGTGGTTGTTAAGTTCAAAATGACTAATTTAGTATTTCCAAGATAAATGAATACTTCCCACAACCATACAAGCCCCCCACCCCGTCCATAGAGAGACCCGTAGTTATTATAAGGTGTCATTACTAAACAAGGAGTGTGTCATCACATTTGATTGGCTACAAGTTTCTGTAAACCAAGTAGAACCTGTTTGATTGGTTTGGTTATGCACATGTTTTACGTGCTGGGAGCAGCCAACAAGCATGATCACTTGGCTGCTGACAGCAGGGGTCGAACACCCTTCTTTTCTTGCTTGGAATGTGAAAACCATACTTTAGGTTAGTTTAGCTGGTTTTAGAAAAGTTGTTTCATAAAAGTATAAAATATGAATAAAAATTGTTGCATTATTTTACATTCATAACTGTAGTTTGATTGTTCATGCAATTTGGTAATAACTTAACTTTCAACTTTGTGTAGAGAATAATTGTTGATGGTAAACTTTTGGCAGTTTTGTCTATGCAGTTATTTATTGTATTATTTGGTGTATTTGATATACTGTAGGTTGGATAAATGGCAAAAACCTGCTCGTTAGGACACGTAGTTCAGCAATAGTTGGTAAATTATAAGTGTTGCATATATTTCTGTCATTTAATTCATAATAATTATGGTAAAGTTACAGTATAAAAATATTTTGCTAATATCTCTATTGTAATTAAGAATAACTTGCCATTTACCTTTTGTTAATGTTTTGTACCTTGTAATGTCCTTTTGATATTGTATGTTTTGTACCAGAGTAAGGTGCAACCAACTATACGATTGTAGGTAACTGACTATGTCACTTATAGTTGGTATATGAACAATTATTTTAGATGTGATAATGTTGAAAGGAGCGTTGTACCCACGAGGTCGAACTTTTAATAAAGAACTCATCCCAGCACATCGAGCCATGTCGTCATTGATTGATACATCTGTTACATGTATAAAAAGAAAAAGTAATCCATGTACCAATTTTTCGACCCAAAAAACAACACTGGTACATACTTCAGTGATTTAACTAAAAATCAGCCTGTCGACCAATCAGTGCAGTTGGAACAAGTAGCATTTTGAGACCTAAAGCTTGCATTATATGATTGATTCCACAGTACAAATCGCACCATCAAACCTACAGGTAACATAACTCTACGTTAAAAGTTCAGTTTCACTGGCGGACACTACAGAGGGTTCCATTTTGTCCAATTATTGCTCGTTGATACAGGCAACACAACAAATTTATGAGCAAGCAATTACTTATTCAAAGACATATTTACAGCACATGTTAGAGACCAATTTCTGTGATATGCTTACTTACACTTGAATGCAAATCCACTGCAATGTCAAGTCCAAGCAGTCAAGCAAAATATGCTTGACGGTGAACCTCTCATCATAAGGGGTACATCAGGGGGTTCGTCTTCTCCGTTTTAAGCGGATATTTGTGGGCAAACCGATTACGGCCAATACGACATGATCTCAAAATGACCTCATTAACCCATGTAGCTATGACCGAATGCTGGCTTAAATTCATGAAATTTATTGATTCCTACTTGGTTGTTGCACCGTTTTCACATGAGGAGCCATGGTTGAGAAAAAGGATCTCACAAAGAGGATTGAAAACACAACTATATGCTGGGTTTTACTGATTTGAATGCAATTGAGTATGGAGTTGTTCTGGGGAAGGCTCATCAGCATCCACATACAGACTGTCCACAGGAGAGGTTCTGAACGCTCAAAGACTGAGTCTTAGGCCTTGAAGCTGTATTTAGTCTATTTATTCTAAGTTGTTTTTGCAGGCTCTAGCAACTTGTACTTGAAATTGCCTGTCATGGAGATATGAAGTGGGGTAGTTTGCCCCTCACTCTGAAATCTGTAACACCTTTATAAATACCACGTTGCCATGCTGTGTCACACCCTTTCTCAGTAGAAACAACTTGTTGCAGTATGTTGTTTGTTGACAACTAAAGTTTTGATAAATGATTCTAAACTCAGCAAATAGTAAATGTTACTACGTTTATTGATCGGCAAGTACCAAGCTAATCGATTTTCGAACATGCATTCCATGGATTCACAAACACAACTAGATAATGACATGGACGGTATTTTGATGGATCAAGTCAGTGTGATCCCGGCTAGGCTTTGGTTTAGGAATGATAATGCATGGAATGTCCGATTGTCCCAATTTCGTCAAATATGAGCAATCATTTGATTTCGGGTTTGAGGTGGGGTGGGATTGGCTGGTGGTGTATATGGCTTGAGAGCAGCAAATGTTCCTTGGATGCTTGTTTGCAAGAAAAGTACACACTATTTTACCTTACAATGCGAAGCTTAAGAGTTCGGACCTCCTGTCTCCCAACAAGACGGACCAATTACACTTCTCACTACATGTGTAATATTCTATACATCAACGTATATGATCAAATATTCAAATTGTTTATTCATGGCAAACTGAGTTACTGACATATTAACTTTTTAGTCGTTTTGTGAAGCATGTCCCTTGTATCTGTATTCAAAGCAGCTGTACGTCATGGTCTGTCGAATAAAACGTTCATCCATGCGGGGTTTCATGATGTGGTCGGAATCGTGCAGTCGATTCTGCTTTATGCAAAAATGTCTTTGGATATGGAAAGAGTTTTGTCGCTTTATTACCAACTCGAACGTTAAAATCACCGAAAGGGCTACTGTTGCATCAGGATATTTCGTTGGAGAGCATATATTGTCTCCATTGTAAAACACCTATACCAGTGGGTAGAGTAGCAGAGTGACTATCAGTCACATAAACAAACCCGAATAGTGTAGGTGTTGTGACGAGGCGTTGTGTGATGTCACATCATGAACAAAATACATGGATACGGTGACCCATATGGCGATGAGGCCGAAGGAAAACCTGGCATCATCACTTATTGATAGTGATTCATAAACATAGTCGGAACACGGGCTGAGGTTTCTGTGGATTTTATGGTTGTGTCGCTTAAATTTACTGTCATTGGTCTGTCTAGATCTGTCTGTCTGTCTGTCTGTTAATGTTTATTGAACGCTTGGCTATTGCTGGCAACGTCTTGAAATGAATATATTATTATATTCATTTATATAATCACACACACACATATATTATCTGTACTAGAAAACATTGGCGGTCCATATTATCTATTTTGATCTACACTAGATAACATTGACGGTCCATATTACATGTGCTAGAAAATATTGACGGTCCATATTATCTGTATTAGAAAATATTGACGGTCCATATTATTTGTACACGATACCATTGACGGCCCATAATATCTGAACTAGATAACATTGACGGTACATATCATATGTACTACAAAACATTGACGGTTCATATTATCTATGCTAAAAATTAAAAATTAACAAATATGTCCATATTAACAAAATCCCACCGAATTAGACAATGTAATTTTCACTCTCACACACATGAGTTTTTTATGGTTTTATAAACAACTACTGTGATAGTGCTCTCGTCATAAATCACTGTACGTTGTGATTTACTGTGGATTTCGAGTTGATTGTGACATGAAAGTTTGTAATGTACCGAGGTGATGCTTTACGACGGATACGAATTACCCATATACAATAACCCTGTATTAGCACGTTTGAGAGGCACGTCACGTTCACCAACTGACTGAGTCCGGCTTTCGACGTATACCGTTATACACTGAGTGGACTTACCCAAGCTGCTTCTGCCGAGTCCCTTCAGTGCTTGATTGTAACACAAAAGGTAAGCACCTGTTTCTTTGATGGATATTACAGATTCGTAAATGGTAATGAAAGCTAACAGAATTGGTTCCAGCACACACAAACGCCTGGGGATCAGCGACAACTATTGGGAAGATACGAGTTGGGTGATCCTCGTCTCTGCCTCGTTCAGTCATGGGCGCCATGTGGACTTGAACGACATCCAAACGCATTATAATCAAATCGAAACTCGACGAACCGTAGAATTAGACCTCGACTCATTGAAAGCAGTTAACACTGACGTAACATCACACTTTAAGACACGGTACAGGTGTAGCAGGACGTGGTGTCACACCAAACACAGGACATCTTCAACGCCTGCTGACGAGGTCTAAACTTTATTGGTCTTTTTTACTTGTCACAAAGGACAAGATCTGAAAAGGGCACCTTTCGATACCCAGTATCTGCAGTATTTAAGAAACGAGCAAAGCTGTTAGAAATTTATATGAATTGTGTCAAATGAATAATCGTTTTATCCTTCAACATATGAATGTTTCCTACTTACAGGAACACTTATAGAGGAAATGCGAGACATGTTGATTTTTAAAGTTTTTTTGAAACGTGTTAAAGGCGTTTGCTTTTGCAAATTACCGATGTGTAGAGCTGACGGGTCCTGAAGCATCAACAGATACTGCGTGAACGTGTTAACTATTGCAATGTTTACATTGGGAGGTCTAACCTGGACTTTCATAATTTTGTAATGGCTTAATTTAATGCCGTCATTCGAGTATATAATACGGACACTCTTCATTATGTATGGCTGTTATCAGTATGATTAGTTAAAGTGACGACAATTCTGAAGCCACTTAAATGCGTCACTATATATTTTAAACGTACCGAGTCCGCCATCTTGGATTCACTGAGTGTGCTCTCGCGAGTACAATACCTACACTTGTCATAATATGTTCGCAGGTGCGGTTTTTCTCGATTAAATGTTGTTGGGTTTTTTATTATTACTAAGAGATGTAACATTCCAAAAGCGTACCATAGCTCTCGTAATCTTGCTTTCTGACTCTGTATTGTGAAAGCTGCAAAGCTCAAAACCTCAACATCGCTCTTGTAATTCAGTGTTTTAGGTTTTTAGTTTTGGGAGACTAAAGCTAAAATCCTTTTAACAATGTTGAAATAATGTTGAAATATGGATACTATAATTTCACGACATTCAATAACATAATGCAGGTGAGTGAGTGTTGTGTTACGCCGCTTTTAGCAATATTCAAGCAATATCACGCTGTGAACACCAGAATGGGCTTCACACATTGTACCCATGTGGAGAGTCGAACCCTTGTCGTGACGAGCGAACTCTTTAACCACTAGACTACCCCACCGCTCCTTATGCAGGTGAGGTGAGATGGGGTTTCACGTCGCGTTCAAGTTTATATATGTACTTATATAGCGACGTGCATGAACACGTGTGTGTTTTCCCGCTTGTACTTGTCCGTTCTGATGCCGATGTTGTAGAGCAAGCCCACTGTGATACCACACCGCAGTTTAACATGTATACCCCACTCAGACCTCAAGCTGACATGTCCTTGTTGTATGCCCTTAATGTCGAGCGCCAGGCAGGGTAAAGATAAGTACCATTTTGTTGACGTCCTGTCGCATTACGCAATCAGGGGATCGAACCACTGAGTGGGCAGATGCTCCATGCGCTGGACCACGGAGGTGTCCCGCGTTCGACTTCAGGGGAGGGGGTGACTGGATGAATATATTAAAAAGTAGAAAAGTATTATACTTGGTTTAGTCTACAACTGGAACGATGCCTGTCGTTCAAGATATGCAAACTGGTTCACATCTTGATGATTATGTTGTTGTTTAATTAAGAACGAAAATGAAATGTGAGATCGATGTTAAAGTTTTCTAGTGCTCATAAGCAGCTTGTATACTCCCCAGCGATTTGAGGATGATAACTGGAATCCAAACGGATCCACTGGTCGGGGTAAAAATACAACCGCATTTGGGAAAGATATTAGTACCGGGATACCTGCGGTATATAAATGTATAATATAATAATAATTCTGATTGGTACACACTCGGAAATACATGGGTACTGCATGTAATTGTACTTCAAATTAGTTCTGAGTATTTGATGTGTGTTTGATACTCTCTGTGTAGACTGAAGATGGTGAACAAGACTACTCTCCTCCAAGCCTTCGCCATTCTGGTGCTTCCGGTGTTTTTGGTGACAGTGATCTTCAACATCCTCGCCGGTCTCCCAGACACAGGTAAACATGGGGCATCACAACAGGGCATGTGAGCAGGGTGCAGAGTTGCGTCCTAGGCCTGGCGGGATCCGATGTTCATTGGTTCCAATTCAAAATTCGACCTCATCATGATCTGTGGTCTGTTAGAACTGCAACCGTGTGACAAAAAGTGTGTGGTCTACGAAACTGCTGGGCAAAAGAAAGTATACACCAATATTTGATGGTGGCTAAAGCTGACACAAACAACAAATGGTTATTCGACTGATGTATATGACAGGGTATCACAGTTTTGTTTCGGACATGTTGGCAGTGTTGCGGAGACTCGATGCCCAGCAGCGTATAATTTTCAGGTGTAAACTTTGTGTTCCCGGCAGGTTACTTGCGTCAGTTTTGGCTTTTCTTCCACATTAGGATGTCAGTGTCATGCAGTTGTGAAGCATTAGACTCCTCCATCTTGCTTCCTTGTGTTCATATATTCAATATTAATATTTTACAAATGGAACAAAACCTTTACAAATGGACATAATATATATTATATGATTTAGGGTCGACTCGCCAATTCCACTGCCTGTGAGACCGGATCTACTGATCCACCCTCACACCCGTCAACTTCATCCAAACGCAGGGCAGTTCAGTCTGCACGCATTAATGTTGTCACTGGGGTGGATATTAATATTTTTCAAATGGAACAAAACCTTTACAAATGGACATAATGTATATTATATGATTTACTAGTTCTATGTAATTAATAACATTATCAACGAAACACGCAAAAACGTTCACTATATGGCTGTGATGGTAACCAATATAACTCTATTTCAGGTGCTTTCGTGTTTCTGACCACAACTACCGCAATCTCTGACCGGTTCATCTCACAAATAACACCCGTCGGCTTTACATTCATCATCTGGGGCCTGATATACGTCTGGCAGCTCGTGTGGATCATCTACGAGCTGACCCTTCTCTGCCGGAAGTCGGCCTCGGGGGAACCCCTCTATCTAAAACCGATCCTCCTGCCGACAGCATTCTTCGGCATCTACATCCTCAGCCTCGTCCTCAATGTGTTCTGGTTGTTCATGTTCGACCGAGAGTTAATAGGACTGGCATTCGTGGCTCTTGCTGGCATCTCAGTCACTCTCTACATCTGCCTCGGCCTGTCCTACCTAGCTATGTACAAGAACAGGTTCATCCTGTCCAATCAAAGTCGGAGGGTAGATATTGTCCTCATCTCTATATTTGTCCACAATGGTCTGGCCCTGTACGCCGCATGGACAACTGTGGCCACCATCATCAACATGGCCATCGTCATCACCTACCAGTCTCTGCCCCCAATTGACCCGGGTACTGCCTCAACCATTGCTCTCGGCTTCCTGGCAGCTGTCATCATCATCTACGTGGCCGTCGACCTCTCCGTATTTGACAAGTATACCCGCTACACCTTCACGCCCTATCCTGTCGTCATCTGGGCGTTTGTGGGCATCATTGCGAGAGGCTATAATTTGCTTGACGTTAATACTATCTTTGTCCTTGTCCTGTTGGCACTGACTGTGGTGGCTTTCCTTGTGAAGATCGCATTAGCCATCTACAGAGCAATGACACAGCCGCTGTTTCCTCCTCCTGGGTCCGGGCCCGATGAGACCAAGGTAGAAGAGGTGACTCCGGAGGAAGACATGGAGAAGGCGACCACCACTGTGGAGCCCTCGGTCACAGCGAATGAGGTTGAACATGGGTAGAGTGAACATGGAACTGATGACTTGAAACCAGTTTTAGGGATTATCAATGACAATTTCTGCTAACTTGACTTCGGCAACATCCAAGTCTCACGATTCAGATGACTAAATTAGTCCCAAGACCAGTCGTGTCGGGTGGTGGTATATATTCGTTTCTTAGTGCAGGTGCCCTTTGATATAACTATGAGATAAGACACTTGATCAAGTGAACACGACGTTCTTTTTGACAGGGTTGCTATCATGAGTGGTGATAGCTCACTTGAATGATCCTCAAATTTAGATCTACGCTTTTTCTTTAATATGTCTCTGCATATAGATATTTTAATGTTGATTATATTGTTATATTTGCCACCATCTTGAAAGACATTTTCACTCACTTGCAATTATTAAATATAATTATCGTAATATATAATAACTATGAATGCCATTAAAAACATATAGTTCGGTATTTTCAGACAGTATTAATAGACTGTCCAAGCCTAATATTTAAGGAAAAATAGAGTTGTATTATTTACTTCTTGATTTTTAACATTATTTGTGTCCCTTAATGTATTCATTCCGGTCGAGATTCAGGGAAGAATTAGTCCCCTCTCTCCCGTGCGTGTCATAGGAGGAGACCGCAACTGCAAGAGAGGATCAGTTGGTCAGTTTCGGTGGCTGTTCAGAGCGTGTCGTCGTACGACCACAAGTCGTTGCTGATGTATTCAGTCACTCACTTATCATAAGAGACCCCCGAAAAATAGCTATGACATTGCTGATTGCGGCGAAAAACAACGGTCATACACTTATGTATATGTGAGCTTTTGTGTATTTAGATATGAATGTCCTTTGTAGCCTTGAGCATAGAGCAGGGATTGCCGAGTGATCGAGGGTGACATATTCCTTGTGCCGAGTTGCCTCCTTGGCTCGCTGACCGCTCTTCAGAATCCAACATCAGTGATTTTGCAGCTGAATATCAAACGTCACCAGAGACGTAAACGTCTATGATCTGCGTTCCTTGAGTTTCGATCTCATAACGGTGAGATGTGGGGATATATTCTTTTCAATCTCACTGAATATTAACCTGACACTTCCCCGGCCGCGTCATACCAAAATACATTAAAATATAGTACTTGTTGTTACCCTGCCTGGCGAATTAAAGGGCTAAAACAAGGACTGGTCGGTCGGAGTCAGTATACTGCGTCTGAGTGGTGTTTCATGTTTAACTGCAGCATGGTGTCTCAGTGGGTTAGCACTTTCAAATCGACATACTTCCTGACTAGCGCAGGCATATACACACACACAGGCACACGTCGCTATATATGTGCAATAATATCGGACGCAACGTTAAACGTTAATTAGGAAAAGACTCAGAATATAAAGAGTAAAGATTTTAGTCAAATATGTTAAAATTATATATACAGATTCGAACATCCTAACTGTTAACAGATAAATATAAATACCCTTCTATTACAAAAACAATACAATTACAATATGTAAAAAATATGAGAAATAAATCAAACTAGAAAATCAGTTCTTGATCATGAGTTGAACACCTGGCAGATAGTCACACTTCAAATCATTAAATACATATTTCGCACATCTTAATATGTACCATGTATATGTTATTGTGTTGTCAGGCTTGTTCTGAGAACAGAACATGCTTCAAAGAAGGGCGATAACTCGTGTTGTTGAGATTGTATCTAACACGTTACTGGCAAATCGTTTCTTGTGAACAAAGTGTTAAACAAACTGGGAATATAATATAAATGCGACTTTGTCTCCTGGTACTCAAATAGAGCTTTTCGCAGGTATGAAAGAAACACTGCCAGTGTTGACTAGCTGGTTCTTTCAGCAATTTACTGGCATTTAATAAATCGTCTCCAGCTTATGTGTGTGTTTTCTTGTTTAACACTGCACTCAACAATATTCAAGTTGCATGACGGCGGTCTGTAAATAATCGAGCCTGGACCAGACAATCCAGTGATTACATTCATGACCATCGATCTACTGGATACGTGGCATGCATCCTCCAAGTAAGTCAGCCTGACCACCCAATCCCGATAGTCGACCCTTAGGACAAGCATGGGTTGCTGAACACCAATACTGATACTGATCTTCACGGGTTTCACCAGTTTATGAAACGTGTTGATGACGTCAGGCCATGTCGACAGTGTACTGCTTCTCCGGCGTGGTAATGTTCGTGGATGAGGTAAACACAGGTTTTGTCTTGCTTCTGATGATGACGAACACTATCTTGGCAATGAGAGCTAACACGCCTATCACTATGAGTACAATGGTGAAGATAGAGTTCCCGCGAGCAGCGTCAATATTCTTGGCCAGGCTGCCTGACAGAGCCCACACGATGACGCCATAAGGCGTGATGGTATACCGACTGTATCTGTCGAATAGGAAGAGGTCGGTGATGACGAAGAGGAACAAGGCGGCGGTGATGAAGCCGAGGGAGATGGAGGACGCGGTGCTCTGGTCGATGGCGGGGTTAGCTCTGTAGGCAATCACAAAGCCCATGTTGAGGAAGGAAGCAATGGTGGTCCAAGCCGCATAGATTCCAAGCCCGTTGTGGACGAATGCACGCACTAAAGTGTCCTCAATCTTAAGATTGAGTTTAGCCAGGACCTCCATGTTGTTATCCAGGGAGGTGTAGGAGATCCACAGGCAGATGTACAGGGTGAAGGCAATGGCGAACAGGAAGCTGAAAGCCAGCTCGATGAGTTGGCGGTCAAACAGCAGGAGCCAGCTGATGTTGAGGAACATGTTCAGGATGTACATCCCGAAGAAGGCGGGGGGGGGGCAGAAGAACGGGGTTGAGGTAGAGAGGTCCTTCTGGTCATTACACCTCGAAAGTCTCAACAGGTTTGTCATCATCTGCATCTGCTTGTACCATGGCACTTAACACCCAACACATAAATGAGAACATATTTCCGGCAAGTGCTTCATCTTGTTTTACAGTCTCATTTGCAATGGAGGTCACGGGTGGCCCAGTCCTCTAAGACGTCGCGATTCGCTGTGCAGAGTTGCGTCCTTTGGGCACACCAGGAACCAATGATTGTGGGTTCGAATTCCGGTTCGCCCCGATTATGTTTCTAGGTTCGTCAGCACCTTACTCGTGCTCGTGGGTTTCACTGAAGTGATAAACGTCTGAGACCTGCATCACTTCGAGATTTCCCAGCCGCTAGCAATAACATCATGGAGAAGTGACACTGAATTCAGGATCACATTGTCAGGTAACACTGTTTAACACGAAACTATCTTAGTGACATTCAGTACAATCCTACACTCGTGTGTCATGCAAAGGTATTTTTCAAACCCAATAAATGTCATAATCAATAAGTGTAGTGTTACCACACTATAGCTATTAGAATTGAAATATGTGCAAAAAGATACTTCACTATTTTCCCTTCAAATGGTCCTCTTGCGGGCGCGCAGAACTTTAGGTTAAAACATCGCCTACAAAGTCTAGGACGAAAGTAAGGGACGTTATTCTAAATGACAATGCCGAGACCTTTGATCGAACAGCAGGCGTTCAGCATTGAGGATGCCTGTTCAAGTCTGATGATACAAGGTGTATACTGAGTCTTTTGGACAATACTGCTTGTTGTTGTGTTTACGTCAAAAGTCAAGTTCATAGAGAACACCAACATTATACCTGGAAACACTCAAAACAAATATTGTTCAGGAAGCAGCGCACCCACGAGCGAGTTAAAATGACAACGTAAGCTTCAATTAAGATTGTTTGTTATTGAAATATCCAATATATTTCACGAATAAACTAAGGACTCAAGTATATTATCAAGCTATTTGTATTTAGATAATGTTATTATTTTTTTATCTATCTAGATCCATAATTCGTTTCAAAATTTAAAAGTGACATTAATTTTCGTTCACAAAGGGAGATAATTTAGGTATTGTCAAGTTATGTTGTCTCATGGAATACGCCACTAGTTAACGTGAACATATATATAATGTAGTCCTTTTCTATCCTTTTAAATTGAGTAGATCTAATAAACAGACCTAATTGTCTGATTTTATTTAAATCTGGCTGAGGAGCGAAATGCATAGTAAATGTGTCAAATCTATTCCAGAACGTAGTTCAGTGATGTTTGGCATGTCTGACAACATTACTGAGGATCAGCTGCTTTTTATGACAATGGTCTTTGAAGCGGACGTAGAATATATTTTTAATGTTCTTGAGAGAAGTAAGGGGAAAATGGCCTTGTTTATTTTAAACATATTTTATTGACAAATATGGGCAACGGAACTGGGCAAACGTTATCCAACCTAGGTGGCCATCTCTCATCATTGTTATTATGCAACACATTTCACGTTAAATCAAAAGATAAACACACTCAAATAAATTTCGCATGCAATGACCTGAAACACACCTTCTGGTCATGTATTGTTTTAGCCTCCAGTCTGTTGTAACATTAGCCCAATCATCGGTCCATCTAGCTCATGAAATCCCGTACACCTATCTGTCTACATCCATGTATATCCTGGGATGTATCTGTATAGCATATTTGGAGTAAGAGGCCAATAATACAAATTGAAGTAACAATAGTAACGAATAGGTCATTAAACTAACACTTAATCCCAGGGTTAAAATGATCTTATTTAAAAGTATATACGTACAAAATCCAAAATATAATCCAAATAGAGCCCTGGAAAATGCTTAATTTGAGAGGTGAGGCAGTCAAAATTTAACAAATCGATTATTTACAGACCGCCGTCAGATAGATCTAGCTGGACTACTACAAGAAACAAACGAACTATACAACTATAATAGCTATAATAGCTTTAAAATTCAGCACCAAAGGGATTACAAATACGTCACAATACTCTATGACATAATTTTTTACAGTGTCATAAAAGAAACTCCCCTATGACGTCAGTCCAGCAACTTTGTTACTGGGCGCTCTCCTACCCAGAGTTCCACGCGACCAGCATAGTACCTCTGCCACAGGCCAGCGCCATGTGACGATTCGTCACATCTTACACAGTCCATTCAAGATATTGCATGTGTTGTCATCTATTTCACGTTTGACAAATCTACATAACTAGATAAACATATGTCATAGAATGGTTATCTTTCATTGAGAAAATATCCTAAATCGTGAAAAACTATTAATTTTCCATTTGCGTAGTTATCCTATATCTTTACATTGGTTGTACGGCTCCACGTGCTGTCATCGAAGCCCTAACGGAGAGCAAGCGATACGGTCACTTTGATACGTAAATATGTATTGTCATGCAACTCACTGTCGCAGTTGTTGTAGCATATTTATATATTTATGCAAAACAATATGTAAAGCGCCCCTAAATACTTGCATTAGTCCGTTCTATTCTAATTTCTGAAAAAGCGCGTTTGTTTACAGATAAGAGAAAAATCCGGTCACGTGATATGTAAATTAGCCTGTGGCAGTGGTGTTATGCTAAGTCACCACTGCGCCGGAGAGTGGTTTGCTTGGGTCATCGAGCGCACATAAACTTCTTATCTATCATCTGCACACGCAATATCATAAGCTCCTCACATCGATATCCCGTTCGCGGAGCTCTCTGTACTATCGCTGCCACCAGTTAAAGCTCCCCACTGTGATAGGTGACCACAACCATGTTTGGAGTTGAACTCACAGCCGACTGACTGTTATGTTTACAAACAAGTGATGACTGCCGTGTCGCCGAATACTCTTACCCCTGCTAAATTATTTTCTTTGTGTGTAAATTTGAATTTCATTGAGTTTCATTACAACTATCTTGTAATTTATATAGTAACAAAGTAAAGAAGAAGTTGGTCGATTTTCCGTTCGTCTGCAATCTCGAACCAATCTGATTATACAAAACAAAAGGGTAAATTCATCTTGGAAATATGGTCAGTCGTAAACTTTTTCAAAATTCACTATGATGGCATTCCCAAAGACATAAACAAAAGTATAAATGTTACTACATTTTGGGTTAGTGGGCGACCAACAGCGTGCATTGAACGATGACTCTGGCGACAGCCGTGCCTCTATTCGGCGACCACGGCAACCCCTGAGACACCATGGCAATGCTTCTGACTCTTTTTTGCCTCCTTTGAGCTATCTGTAGTGCCTCCTAAGCCTGCCTATAAATAGAGGGCTTGTACCTGCAGTGTTTCATTGTGGTTACAGACACTGAACAACTCGACTCAAGAAAGACTCAAGACTCAGTAGACACAAGACAACCTGGAGCAGTTACATACGAGGGGTGTCCCATAAGTTTCCGGCCTCAACATGAACGGATAGCCCAAACTCAACCAAACTGCACCAGTTGCTAGAACAGTATCTCTGCACGTGGATGACATGCAAAACATGAATCCCACGTGGTACAAATTCATATAAATTGCTATCAAAAAGCATGACCCCCTCACATTTGGAAAAAATGGAGAAGACCGAATGTAGAGTCGTTATTAAGTATCTACATTTAAAAATGTTAACGCCAAAGCAAATTCATGATGACATGGTACAAACATTAGGTGACGATGCTCCTTCGTATAGTACGGTCAAACAGTGGTGTGCTGAATTTACACGGGGCAGACGCAGCACTGAAGACGAACCACGGTCTGGTCGCCCTTGTGAAGTGACTACCCAAGATGAAGCTGCAGCTGTTCTTGATACAATAATGCAGGACAGACGACTAACTGTTAGACAGTTAGCTACTGCACATGACATGAGTAAAACATCAGTGGAACGAATAATCCATGAACATTTACACATGAACAAGGTGTCTGCCCGTTTGGTGCCCAGAATGTTGACTGAAGAAGAAAAACGTCAGAGGGTCATGATTAGTCAACAGCTTCTGGAAGATTTTCGGAGAGATCCACGTGCTTTCATGGCTCATATTGTTACTCAGGATGAAACCTGGGTTCATCATTTTGACCCAGAGACAAAAAGTCAGAGCATGCAATGGAAGCATGTGACGTCACCAACACCCAAAAAGTTCAAAAGCACATCTTCCAGTGGCAAGGTCATGGCCTCCGTTTTCTGGGACTCCGCGCGCGTAATCATGATAGATTATCTACAGAAGGGTTCCACCATTAACGGTGCATATTATGCAGATGAATTGCGCAGATTGCGTAATGAAATCAAAGCAAAGCGCAGAGGTAAACTAAGCCGAGGTGTCTGGCTCCTCCAGGACAACGCACCAGTTCACACCGCCCAAGTAGCAGTGAGCGTTGCACATGAATGTGGCTTCAAGATCCTGCCTCACCCTGCCTATTCTCCAGATCTGGCCCCCTCTGACTTCTTCCTCTTCCCTCAACTCAAATCTGTACTCAGGGGCCGAAGATTTGGGACAAATGAGGAGGTCATCACTGCTGTAGAGTAGTTTTTAGGGTCACGTGACAAACAGTGGTTTTCTGACGGGTTAAATATGCTTGAGAAACGGCGGAACAAGTGCATTGAGGTCAAGGGAGATTATGTTGAAAAATAAGTAAAACAGTTTTTATATAAATCGCAAATTACTTATGGAGGCCGGAAACTTATGGGACACCCCTCGTAGACACAGGATTTTCTGGGTTTAGGCGACCATTGAGCGTCCTGGCCAGATCGCTCAAAGGTGGCACAAAGGTCGCAGCCCTGTGTAAAGGGGCCTTTATGTCCCACGACGTTATTTCCTAAGAACATTGCTAAGAGCGGCGTAAAACCCAACTCATCCACTCTACCATATCTCGTACTTTTATCAAAGCTGCAACTTCACTGGATCAAACCCATCACCAATCGTGAAGAGAATAGCCTCTGGTTTCGACTCCGATGCGCACCTAAAATCCCTATATCTTTGCTCGTGTACCACCGGACAGTGTTCCGCCTCGTGTTCGGTGAAGTAACTTTTTATTTCGAGAATGAAGG